CCGTTACGAGCAATAGTGGTCGCTAATGACCTAGATGTTGATGCGACCTTAAATAAAAAAAAACAGTGTAACGCAATTATTAGATCCAACGTGCTGCTTTCACGAGGGCCTTTGGACCCTCGCTCACGCGACCTGATCGCCAACCGCTTTCGCTGTTTAATAAACCTCTCTCACTCTGAAGAGAATCTCATTTAAAGGGAATAGTTTTGTACTGGCCTGCACTCTTATATGCACCCTTTCTACAGCAAGTGTTTACTTGGGCTACAAGACAACATGAACGATTTCAAAAAGAAACAAACACGTTCTTAGTATCGCATTTTTATAATTATATTTCGCGGTAGGCCTGGACGCACAGGGTAGGTGAGCTACGTTAACAAAATGCCCTCGCTCCCATCATTTGTTCCTTGCTTTCGTTCACAGACGGGGTTGAATCGATGCTATGACACATGACCGTGTGAGAATTGTGCAAAGGAATATTGAGATGGACCATGTCATCTTGATGACCAAATTGTATTAAATTAAATACATTTTAAGTAATTAATAATATTATTGTGAGTATTAATAATTAAATATGTTTTCCCCTCTGAAATAATGCAAGAAATGAAGAACGTAAGGCTATAGTGAATGGGAAAGCATGATAGGATAAAAATCAAGAACAATGTGCGTACAAGTTAGTAAAAAGAAAAAAAATTAGAGCTCGAAATGCGCAGGAAAGACTAACGGTAGGCTATCAGATTAATGCGTAATTGCAGGAGGCAAAGGGAAGATCACGGGTAGAAACACAATGAAGGACTGTCACGGGCGATGAGATCGCGATACAGAATTCCTGTTTAAGTTTTATTTGATAAATTCACTAACTTCTCAAGAAAATAACATTTCCGAAATAATAGCAATGAATTGACAATGTATGGGAAAGTGTTAACTAGAATTTAGATTTGAAAATTTCAAAAATTCAAAATTGTTACAAGATTGGTTTAAGGATTAAAGTTAAAATACAATCTTTTAGCTACACATAATTTCAAATTAGGTAAAGATTACTCTGATCTGCGCACGACGAATATGAATGTAGTAGTTGTATGTAATTACCGTGACTGTGATTCCTATTGCATATTAATAATATTAATTTTTCATTAGTAGGGCGATTGCATATAATGTAAAATTTAGGTCAAAATTGACGCGGCTATGAAGATGAGATTTTCAAGAAAGCAAATCGGTAACAAATTGATGGGCCTCAGAAATTACTATGAATACAGGCAGTTATTAATTTCAGTAATTCCTGGGCTGCCAGAGCGAAAACAAATATCAACAAAATGCAAATTTTCCAAACTAGACTCGTACGCACTATCGCAAAAGCTTTCTGGTACATTCCAAATAGATAGTTACGTAATGAACTTGGCATTACACCATCCCCATCCACTTATATCTTCTATCCAAAAAATTATATTCTATGATATTACATATTATTGCAGTAATTCACTTTCACAAGGGTAATCAGAATTCTTTTTAACCGGAAAAGTTTAAAAAGAAAGTTGCCCAGAGAATTGATCGACCTCCCATAGACCCAAATCGTTGAGTCTTTATTACCAATTTATACCCATATAGTTATTTATCTTAAACTATAATTTTGTTTACAATGTATCATATAATACATTATTAATATTCTATGCCTCTTGTAATTGTTTTAGATGGCTGCAGAGGCCAAAAGCTAAGCTTGAATAAAGAAAGAAAGTAATATTTTAGAGTATTTCGCCATCGATTGTAAAGCCCTCGAAATAAATTTTCTATCAGCAGAGACCTCGTAATGAGGTGTGGATTTTCTGGCCCAATCCTTTAATGATACAACTTGTATTACAAATAAAGCCCTGAGATATATGATAATTATAATTAAATATTTATTAGAATTCTTAGTAGATATAAAATAAAATACCTAATCTACCAGTAAAATTAATACAATAAATAAAAAATAGAGGAGGGAAAGAAGGAAAAGTTGAAATATTGTCTCTAGAATACATTGAAACTACAAAATAAAGAGAAAAATTCTAAGGACTTGCTTGTCTCTTGTCTTTTAACGCAGAATTTTTCTGCCTGCTCTCGAGAGGGTTTAGAACGTAATCCGTGTAATTAGTACCTTTTGAATCTTCCCTTCTAGGGATTATAACGAAAGCTGTTAATAGTTTGGTGTACTTTCCTCTCAGATGACAAAGATGCAACTCTTCTCGGTCATAATGCTTTATTGAAGCCCACAGCCTTCAAACAAGAGCGGCGCAACTTCATTTCTCGGGTTCCCCTTTATTCATTGAGCATTTACATTCTCGATATACTACGTACGAAGTAAAGATAAAGTATTGAAAAAGCTGCGGCGGAAATCGGCGATTTCTCGCCAGAAAAACTCGTATTGTCGGGCCCTGGTAATGAAATTGTGACTAAATATTTTTTCTATACGCAGTAAATTACTTCAAGTTGTGTAATCAGAAGCCATGTTTTAGGGTCCTTGATTCCGAAAAATCAATTGATACAAAACTACAACTCTCTCTCACTGAAAATGTTGAGGCTTCATGTGAAGTATCCCCAAAAATCAATATATCGTCAAACTAATTAACTACCTCGTATCTCCAGGTTGGATAGTTTCGTAATGAAAAAAATCAAAATAGCCGAGAAGCAGAATTTTAATTTTCTGTTTTATTGAATTTATAAATACAGGGGAACTCAATTATTTTAAATGGTCGAGTTGTTATTTACTTTTATTTATCATTATTCTTTAATAATTATATTTTATCACGGAGTAAACACAAAATACAAGAGGGAATATGAAGTTCGAGGTTTGCTAATTAGCATAACTATATCCATTTCAAATTCAAGGGGCCTTGCACCAGTTAGATCGATTGCGGAATATTAATTTGACGTAAATACTGCCTGAAATGTATCATGTAATGTTTCCTATTCTATGTAATGTTCTAAGTAAAATACAAGATTGCAATTACGGGAAGCAAATATAATACGACAGCATTGAACTAACTTCAGGAACGTATTAAAATTATAGGAAGTTATATTTTATTTGTCTGCAGAAATGGATACACATGATTGGAACTGGTGACTCTACACACAGTACTTTTCAATTTTCAGCCAAATGATTGTGTTTTACTTTAAGATTAAATGATTTAAGGGTGGGTATTCCAGGTGTTTAATAAGTTTCTGTTATTTATTTTTCTCATATTTTTGTAAAATAATTAGAGACATTCAGTTCTCATTTCACTTAGAACCATCGATATTGGCATTCTTCTGTATAAAATTCCTTTTCTAGTTTCATCTCGAATTTATTCATCTGTAAACTGCATATGTATAATAGCTAGAACGTTTTCTAAAGTTATATCGGCCACACATATTCGATGATTGTAGTTAGATCTTAACGTGTTCAACGAGAAAATGCCAAGAACAATTCTTAATTTTGTATCGTGCCGCACGGTGCGGCCTCTAATTTAAAAGGACCTTCCTAGCATCAGAAAAACGTAAAAAATTTGTAAATTGCTTCAAATATTCTAAACTAATTTAGTACATAAAGAAGACAAAAGTTGTTTGTTACTGATACATTATAGCTTGTTATTGCCTTCGACACGGAGCTGGAAATACATTGCATAACTTATCTGGATCAAGAGGATCGTAATTACGAAGGAAATATGAAAGCAGCTGAATGGTGCTACATGTTATATTCTAGAGGGAATTATGAATGGGAATTATATAAAGAAACTATGAAAAGACAAACCGAAACAAGTTAAAATTCAGTTAATTAGTAAATAAGTAAATGTGAATCAATAAAATCAGGTAAAAATAAAATTATGTATGTATCATAGACGTCAACTGGTTCACTGGTTCTAATGATCTCCGGCAACAAAAAACCCCTCGGACCAAAGGCTTTCTAACATTTTGTCACCGCTCAATCATTAGAACCCTTATAAATCTCTTGGTGAATAAATAATTATTTTGACTGATTTCCCCCAACATATCCTTATAAGACTTCGTTGCAGAGGTCCTAAGTGCTTTCTCATACACTAAAGCACCTCTGAAAACGCGAGTGTTAGGCCAAGGTCCGTAGCGCGCTGCGCCGCAATCAGAGAGAGAATTCTAGAAGGCTCCGTCTCCCGGTGTCGAGTTCTTTTCCATCCGTCGGCACCGAGCCGGTGTGTTTCGGAGCTGCTTCAACAAACACGGCCACGTGGGCCGCTGCTTGTGTTTCCAACTCGCGAAGCATTTGGCGCTCTATTCCCAGACGGGAAACCTCAAAGGCCAGCCACAGAGCGATCCGTCTGCCGTCGCCCCCGCCATGCGATTCCAGAGACCTAACCTCGCTGCTTCCACCCGTCGCGCTTTCCGTCTGAGGAATTGCAGTTTGACCGAGAAATTCCTATGCCTATACTCTGACTTTCATACGTGAGGAAGAGAGAACACAGGACTGCTGAATCACTGCGGGATCTTAACCCGCAGAATCACAAACACATTATTCAGAGTTATTTTAAAGTTTATTCGAATATCTAAATACCGTGTGTTGCACTCTATAATAAACTCGTACACTATTGCACGGCAGCAACATTTCCGCCCGTTTATTTAAACAATGCATTCTATCTAAAGACATTTTCTATAATCCACTGACTATTATATTGCTGGTTTAATCTCTTTGATAATTGGTGAAAACTTAAGTAATTTCCAAATTAACCGCAGCAGAAATTGCATGACAGATGAGAAAAGCCTCATCAGGCGAATCAAAAGGTAATTTTATATTGCCCTTGAAAGCATGTTTCGGAATAAATATTTCAAACGTCCGGTACATGTAGAAAGTTCAATATTAATATTGATAATACTAATAATATAATAAAATTATAATAATAATAATAATAATAATAATAATAATAATAATACATTTTTGCCCATGAACGTGTAGTACGAAATTAACGATATTCACGAAAGTTACACGTGTGGCATTTACTGCTGATTGTTTTTCATTTCAGATATTCGGCAAGTCACCTGACGCTTTTAAGGTGATTTAATGAACCTGCCGAACATCTGTGTTATCTAAAATGTCAGAGGCATATGTCGCACACGTAATTTTTGATATATTAGATATGTGACTACGTGCTTACTGGAAAAGTAATCTTCGGTCACTTTAAACACCCTAAAATTTGTAACATTTCATCTGAGAACTTCTGTATACGAGTTACAATTGTGAAGGAGTGATAGCACCTAAAAGGCTGAGAAATTGCTCATTCAGTTGGTTATTAATTCAATACTTCGAGAAAATAATTTTGGGAAACTTTTACGTTTATTGGTAAAAATCGTAATATTTACCCGCACAACGATCATCAAGCACAACCGCACATAGTTTGCTTCACTGTCACTTGATATTCTCATTTTCTTTAGTTAGGCGTATAAACACTTCATATATACATAGAATTCAGTGGTGTTGCAAATAGCACTGACACGCAGTTAATGTGTTCTCATAGGGAAGCTCGGGTCACGTCGGACAGCGGATACGTGCCGGACAAAGAGTTTAGGCACTGGACCACTGGTGGTACAACGTGACACTCTGTCAGTGTGAATTCTGGAAACGAATTATGCACATGTGAAGAGTACATAAATCAGTTTTGGTTATTTCACACGTATTACTTTTTGTATGTTATCCAGTGTACGAGGATTAACTTTGGAGCTTTTGAAACTTTTCTTAGAATAAGTCGTTAAATGTTTCTACTGATGACTAATAGGTTTCTTAAAGGTGATAGTTTGTAAGTTACAGCAGGTAACAATGTCGTTGATACAATTATGTGAAGTTGTATTCTTTGTCAAGGTTGGGATCGTTACGGATTAATGGATAAATTTATTATAAACTGCAATTGAGTATAACCCCGATGTCAGCTAATTACATAAATTAAGATACAATAATATAACTAACATTATATAATAATAATGATAATAATAATAAATTTTTATTATTATTATTATGAAAAGAGAAAAGATGGTGCAATAATAATCATAGCAACAACTGAATAGATTTCCCTAAGTTCTTGATCAAAAACGTTAATTTTACAAGGCATAAAAGAAAACTAAACGTGTCACTCCGATTTGTTGGGCGAATGTTTGCGTTTACGAAAATTGTATATAACGGTAACATTGCAAATCTACAAATTTGAAATTAGAGTTGTTTTTGCTTATAATAAATCTGTTAACAACAGAGATTTTCTTAAAAAAAGGCAGGTTACATTTTTTTTTAAAAAAACACGAGTAGATTTGTGTTATTTTTTGCTTCAATTAATGCACAATATAAAAAACAGTTTTCATATAACGCCATCGTATTTTTTCCACAGGTGATTAAAAAACGCCTCAATGAATGGCGCGGGTCTTATTATTGTAAGAACTCTGATGTTTTTCGAAAAATTGCTCACTAGGAATACTTTCGAGACAGTTTTGTTACTGTTTGTTAGCACCATTAGGTTGCGTCACTTCGATTAATTTAACCATACAGTATTACGTATACAAAACGATTGAATTGAAATGAGTGAGGAGAGCGGGCGGCTGCGCGGGGCCTCTCCCCGAAAGGCGCGATAATGTGCGGCGGCGGTGGGTAGGTGGGCAGGAGGGCAGCGTGCGACGATGGGGATGGAGGGGGGTGATGGGAACGGCAATGGCGACGTGAGAGGCGGCCGGTATGGAGCTGGGAGGGGACGGTGGGGATTGAGGAGACGATGGTAGCGACCGGCGGTGGGGCGCGACTGCTTGCTGGGAGGGGGGTGGAGTGGCGGGGTGGATGGGGCGGGCGGAGGCACGGAAGGATGGAGAGGGCGATGGGAGCTGACGGGGTGGATGGGCGGCGGGTTGTGGAGACGCGACGATTAACGGAGGGGGCGGCGGGTTGCATGTGGGGGTGGAGGGGCGCGGGTAGAGCGGGCATGGAGGGGGCGATGGATGCGCGGGGGTGGGGGCGGCGGGGGCGGAGCCGGCGAACGGTAATGGAGGGGCAGGTTGGAAGTGGGGGTGGTGGGGCGATTGGAGCGGCGGGGCGTGGAGGGGGCGGCGTGGGACGGCGGGGGCGGAGCCGCGACGGTGATAGAAGGGCGTGTGGAAGTGGCGGGGTGGATGGGGCGGCCTGTGCAGCGGGATTTCAGGTGGCGATGGGAGCGGGGGGTCGAGGGGTCGGATGTCGGGCGGGGGGCGGAGGAGCGGCGGGGCGGAGCCCGGCGACGGGATGGAGGGGCCGGAGGAGTGGTAGGGTGGAGGGAGCGGCGGGGTGTAGACCCGACGACGCTGACGGAAGGGGTGGTGGGAGTGGCGGGGGTGGAGGGTGCGCGGGGCCGCATTTCACGCGGGTGATGACGCGCGCGCCTGAAAGCGAGGGCGCTTCTGAGGGATGGGCCGCCGCTGGGCGGAGGGTGTCATCTCGCGCGCCCGGCAGAGGCAGTCTGATGAATCCTAACACGATACCGGCGAGCGCGCGGCCTCGCCCAAGCAGGGCTTCGAGCAGAGCGCAGACGGGCACACGATTCGAGGCACTGAGCATCAACAAGTGTGCCACAGCAAGGTGTCTGACTGAGGCTGACTTTGATTTCCGACAGTAACACATATTCGATTGATTAGTGATTCCCGGCGCGTCAATTACCTAGGTCGTTATCCCGTGAGTGTAGTGCATGTTTTTCAGCGTTATAGAGGTAGCAGTGATCTTTCCTTGCTAGATGGCGAGATAAGGTGAGAGTTTTTCTCCAAACAGGTAGTATCTCCTACCAGCCGGGCACTGCCCCAACCAGGGCAAGCTCTAAGCTCCCGAAATGTGTGGTAGTGTCGTGCATGTAAGTGTAAGTGTGTATAAGTAAGGAAGAGGAAACCAAGATCGAGGCCCGTTTCCGTAGACCCGACATCCGTGGCCCGTTTCTTAAGGCAGTGCTATGGCATTTTCCTGGTGTTGATCAAAGAAACCACGGAAAACAACCAATCAGAGTAGCCGGTCGCTAGACCGTTGATCGACACTCGGAACATGTCTAGGTCTAACGCAGCCGTAGTATGGAAGATAATTTTGGCAGCCGCTTGCTCTGATCGAGAATTTTCCTGGTTTCTTTCATCAGTACCTGGCAATTGTCGGAGCAGCACCTCAAGAAACGGGCTACGGGCCACGAGGGATCTTCTGCCTCTCATCCTTATTTCCTCCACCCCTTTTACACACACAAACACACCCAAGCACGCACTACGTGCTCTTCCTTCTAAACATGCCGTAGGTTTAGAGCTGGCCCCGGCTAAAAAGGTGCCCCGGTGGTGGACACACCTGGAGGATGTTGCAACCCTCGCAGTCCGTTGTGTAATTCGGCGACGAATGTCGCGTTCTCGCGGGGAAGAACGCCGCCACCTCCCCAGACATACCACGCCCCTCGGTGCTCTTGGATCACGCACGCCAGTGAACAGGGCTCGGATTCTGAAGACCTAAAAAGTCTTTGAAAATTACCTACAAAATGACGTACAAAAAAGGCGGAAATTACCTTGTGTTTAAAAAAAATACTAAAAAATTTGTCTTGAAATGTTTATTTTTTCAATGAATTGTACAATTTTAAATAACATTTATTTATATAAAATTATGCTTAATATAAAGTTTTTATTCTAAGAGGAAATGCGCTCTTTAGCTCTGATATTCCGTCAGTTTCGAAAGGCCGAGGAAGTTACCGAAGATCCGTGTAATTTTCGAAGTCGAATTTTCGAGTTCGAAAAACAGAGTCTTCTGCAGTAGTGAATTTTGTCATGAACCGATTGATTCAATCGAAACTTTGTTTTAGTCTGTCATTAAAAATTCATTGAAACATTTACCCCCCCCCAAAAAAAAAAGAAAACAAAATTCGTAAAAAATGGACATTTAAATCAGCGATAGATAGTTAAAATTAAAACATTTGTTTTTAATTTCCTAATTTATCAGTAAGGAAAATCGGATAGAAAAAAAAATATTAACTTTTTGAGATACTGTTCTGATTGGGGCATAGTTGTATGTATAGTTAAACACTATTAATTTTAATTTCACGAGTGGAATAGTCATAGTAACATCACCGTAGGGACGATCAACCTCCCGATATTATGACACCGTAACAGCTGACTCACGTCTAGTGCTATTACAATCGAAGACGAGTTAGTTTTGTATAAATTGGTTTGACCGCGTGACGCAGTCGCTAGTGTTTTTAACACGTTTAAGTGTACCAATCGCTTTATGACACGTGCTCCAATGTACTATTTTAAAGTTAAACACAGTAATGGAAGAGCACTGTTCACTTAATCGCTTTTTGCTAAGTTGCTTTATTTGTGTTATCGGCTGATATGTTTTCGAACTGTACGCGGGCTCTGAAGGAAGTATTCCATTTGGCAGCATCGTGTGCGTGCGTGAGTATGTGTGTGGGGAGAGGTGATGGCGGTAGCGGCTGTGAACGGCACGACCGCGAGAGGCGCTGCTTGATTGATGGCTGCGGTGAGCCGCAGAGGTGGAGGTGGGGGGGCAGGAACGGGTGTGGATGCGGGAGTGGGGGCGGGATGCGTTTTTTTACAGATAGCTTAAGCTTGTGGAAAAATGGAACACGAGTGCATTGTGCAATGTGTTAATGAAGTAGAAATACTGTAATAGAAGTAGTTAAGCAGAAGACTTAAGGCAAAATATACCTTTTGCGTCTGTTTGAAATTTTGAATTAGTTGAGCTCAGGGGCATTTTACGCGATTTTTGGAGGTCAAAGGCCAGAACTGAACCATAGTCTTGAAAATGCGTGAGCAAACAAACCAAATGAGGGGGGGGGGCGAGGGAGAAATAATTTTTTAAATTATTTTGTACCAGGTTTACTTTGTTCTACAATTATCTAATACAATTCTTTGATACCAAATCTTTTTATTTTTAAGATTTTTCAATTATTTTTTAATATTTAATTTATTAAATCTCATGGGCTGAGAAGTTTTAAATATCTCCTCAATTGGAAATTATCGAGTATCGCGGGGCTGACTTGTCTGGCTTGTAGGAAGTGCAGGTGAGGCTGGAAGTGGGGAGGTGCCACAATAGGCGTAATTGTGCGGTGGCGCCGCGGGAGTCTTTGCTGAGGCTGCACCAGCCGAGACGCTCTTCGACTCGAGGCGCGGTTCATTCACGGCCACTTGTGAGTAAGCGAATACAGCACAGCAATTCTGTTCCGACGCTCCTAATGGCTTGTTCTTTTACTCTTTCTCGTCCCACCTTTCTCTCTCACCACACTCTTCTCTTTCTCTGATGTTTCTCATCTCCCTCTCCCACTATTCCCATAAACGAAGTAATACAATCACCTTTTGGTAATAGGATTCCCCAAAACGAGTATTTCCCTTTTTCCTTCAACATCCCTTTTTTATCGAATTGCATGACCAAAACTACATATACGTGAAAGTTTTAAATAAAACTTACTGTTCAACATTCATTTCATCAAAGTATTTTATATTTTGTCGTTTTGACAAAAACTGAAGTATCCCGTTTTCACTATTTCATGGTCAACGAACAGTACATTGTACCGTGGAGTACCAGTTTCCGGCCTGCTTTGAGACACGTAAGCAACCGAAATGCGCCATAGTATGAAACAATTTTTTTTTTCTGAGCCACTAGTATACAGCGGGAAGGGGCTGCGCGAGGCGGAGCGGTGTTTTGCGTGGGGGTGGAGGGGATCGGGAGCAGCCTGAGTTCGCAAGCAGCGTCCCACGCCGCTCGACGCTTGCCCGAGGGCGAGCGAGGCGGGGCGGGGCGGCGCAGCCTCTAAGCTGGATTAATTGCCTGCGCTCCGCCTCCGCCTTCGACCGCGTTTTGCGCAGCTATCGGTCGCGGAAGCAGATCCCCTTCGCGCGGCCGCGAATCTCCCGAGGGTGGCGGTATCACGCGGACTTACGTAGCGGAATCTTGGCTTTCTCCGTTCCCCTTGCACAAGTGCCTCTCGTTTTCCGCACATTTGTTGTAAATTAATTTGTGTAAATTAATTTGTGCACGAGGATGATAATATAAAATCTCAAAATTGAGGAATAAATATATTTGTATTTAGCCATTATATATCCCGTAAAGGGCAATTGGCCTCTTCGCCGTTAGATACCGGGGTTTCTAGGCAGTCTCCGAACCACGAACCCCAATGACTCGAATTCGCTTAACCTTCGTGGTTTTATATAGTTAATGAATTCGGCTAGCGACACCTTTTTTTGCAATCGTGACCCTTCAGTGGAGCTATTCCAGCATTCACCTGGATGACCGAGGAAACCACAGAAAACACGGACAATATGGCCAGCACGGGGATTGAACCGGGCGTTCCGAATGTGAAGTCATCGCGCTACGTCCTGAGCCACTTCGCTCGGTGTTAAAGATATTAAATATAACGTCTCCTTCAGGTTGCAAACGACTAAATAGCAGAATGAAATTCCCCGACCGATCCGATCA